CCCACAGGGAACGAACGGGCCATGGCTCGGGGGTGAGGGGCCGGCAGAACCTTCTGTCTTTATTGAGAGGTGAGAACTGAGCCTTGGGTGATCCCAGGAGGGGAGAGGGTGACAAGCCGAGAACCAGGAGGGGCCCTCAGTATGGCACCCAAGGGACAGAAGGTGGCTTCAGGAAGGGGGTCGGCCCTGGCCGGTGGCTCAGTCGGTCAGAGCGTTGTCCCCGTAGGCCACGGTTGCGGGTTCCACCCCCGGTCAGGGCACATACAACAGTCAACCAATGATGCAGAAGGGGAGTAACAAATCGGTGTTTCTCTCTCTCTCTCAAACCAATCAAAGCATATTTTTAAAAGCTCACCTTCTTCATGCCAGTGGGACAGTCTTCAGTCTTCTACTCCAAGATCTTCAATTTGTTCTGCATTGTTGCCCATTAACCGTGGTTATAAAAACTTTCTATTTACTGGATTGAAAACCTAGGATCTATGGTGCGTTCTAACCCGATGGTAAGCTTCGGGAAGAGCGAAGGGAAACGCGGTCTCCCCGGGAAGGCCGAGTCCCGGGGCAGGTGCGAGTATCCGGCTGCGCTTCAGGGACTTGTCATCAGAGAAACAAAAGTTTTGATGTCAGCATATGTGATCTCCCCCATCCAAGCGCTGGCCCCAAGCAGCCCCAAGCCCTGAGCACGAAATAAATATGAATTAAAGTAAAGATGGAGCGAGAGGGAGGAATTCGGTTACTTTCCCTTTCCCTCCGATTGTTCAAAGTGGCTCCTGAAGCAGAACTAAGTCCTGGTGTTTGATGGCTTCTCCCAGGTTTAAAGAAAAAAACAAAAAACGAAACACCTGGGGTTAAAACCAGGCTTTGCTAGGACACAGCAGTTAACCCCAGGCCTGCTGTTTCCTGGACTCCCAGCCCCCGTGGCAGCTCCGACAGTTTCCGGCCTGTCCCGAGCTGCGGGGCGTGTGCAAGGGCATTGCGTTTACTGCACCTGCCGTAGCCGAGGCCCGAGGCCCGGTCCCTTTCTGCCTGCGGGGCCAGGTGGATGCCGTGAGCCTTCTGCTGGGACAGGCGTGCTTTCCGCCGAACCAGCGCCTGCAAGTTCTTAGGAAGAAAACTGTGGCCCCAAAAGGTTACCACTTATGAACCAACCGGGCACCCGGGAGCCCTGATATCTGGCAAATTCGACAGCCTGGCTTTAACATACTTGAGGTTTTGTTAGGAGGAAGGCGCCCTCCTCCCAGCTCTCCTGGTCCTAGCATCCCGCCTTTAGGAGCGGGGCTGGGACGGGCAGGGAGGCGGCCCAGGGCGTGGCGCTGGGGCTCTCCTGGAGCTGTGAGGTGGGGGTTTGCAGTGAGCGCCAAGGAGCTGTGGGCTGTCCCAGGATCAGGAATTCTGGAAGGCGCCCCCAGACCCACAGGCAGGTGGAACGCCCTCAACCAGGGTTGTTACCGCCCGTTTCTGGGTGGCCATGCCCAGCACACCTGGGGGCAGGTTTCCAGGGAGGACCCTCGGGGAAGGCGTAGCTGCCCCCTCGCCCGGCTCCTCTCTCCATCGCAGAGAAATCAGGAGCCCGGCTACATCCTGTTAACCCGTTAGGATCAGGGGGTGCCAAAGAAGTCCCAGGTGCCCCTTGTCTTCCCATCCCACTTGTCTACTGGCCCTTAAGCTCTCTACGTGGGCAGAGCCCTAGGTGAAAGGTGTAGTTAGGTTTCTTCCCCTGGGCTGTAGTTCCTGTGCCCATATAACCCGCCCCTGGGCGAGTCAAGAGGCAGATGTTGGCCTAACTCAGACGCTTATCTGGAGACGCTCCCAAGCGTGACCCCGGCTTGATCGAGATTTCCAATCAAGGCTCCGACTCCAAGGTTACGCGCAATCATCTGTTTTATTTTCAGACACGTCCACACTGCATCGAGCATCAACACGGATGCGACTGAGGAACCCACAGCCCGGGCCCAGCAGGCGGGGGGTCCAGGGCGCGGCCGGGTGCACCGTGACTCCCGCAGGGAGAGGAGGCGGCAGAGGGGCTGGGATGAGCAGGATGCCCGGCTCCCGTCGGGACCCGGCGACCCCCCCCCAGGGCGCGGAGCTCAGGGCTCTGCTGCCCCCGCCGGCAGGCGATGCCCACGTGGGAACCGGGCTGGCGGGGCAGCGGCCCTGCGGCAGCAGCAGGGCGCACTGTTCAAAACGACGTCCACGTGTCGCTGCAAAACAAACAAAGGGAGGAGCGGCTGTGCTTTCCGATCGCTCCCGTCTCCCCGTTTGACGAGCTCGTGCAGGTTTACAGGGTCTCAGACCCGCAGGACCAGTCAAATGGGTGAAGGCCATTTGTTTAGGAAAATGCGTTCAGCTGACGTCTGGGGAGAAACGGACTGAGCCGGGCGGTGCCAACGCGGACTGAGCCGGGCGGTGCCAACGCGGACTGGCAGCCCGGGCGCCTTCATTTGGATCTTTCCAATGACGACCCCACAGAAAGATGTGGGATCTCATGAAGACCGGCAGCATCTTGTTTTTAAATCAAACCGCTCTCTAACCATTACTCTTGCCCGAGATTATTTTCTCTTTCCCGTGTCTTTCCTCTGAGGCGGACGGGAAACGTTAGAAAGCCGGCGGGTGGGTTGTGGCTCCCGCGCCAGAGGGACACGGAGGGCTTCTTCCTGCTTGGAGACCAGTGGGGCGCTTGGTGTCTGGAGCCCGCAGGGCCTCCGGCCGCCCCCGGCCGTCATCAGGGCCGAGGTCTCCATACTCTACCACAGAGCAGCCCACCCGAAGGACCCGCGTCATGAGGATGAGCCGAGGCCACCCCCGAGCTCGGGCTCCCCGGCGTCAGAGGGAAGTGGAGGGTCACGCAGGAGCCAACCTCAGTCATCCGGTCACGACCGTGAAACAAGCCTGGCGGCTGTGCGCTCCACGGCCTCGCTGTGAGAGTCACGACATCACCCAAGTTGAGTTTCCCACTTGGTCATTCCCACCAGGCCGAGCTTTAAAAATTGGCCAAACGGGGCCGGAATGCGTACGTTTCAGCAGGTCAGAAATTGCAAAACGCGGAGGCCCTTTACTGACAGCGCCCCAGACCCAAGGACTCCGCGGGCGTAAATATTTCCAGATTCCTTTGCATTTAACCATAACAGGACGGTCAGAACAAAAACATGATTACGGTTCCTAACGTCGCCGGGACCACACCGCCTATCTTAGTTACAAAATCAATTTACACAGCTCTGCTCCGTGGCCTACGCATTTTTGTGTTTTAAATCATCTTCTCCAAAACTTTTATTTTTTAAAAAAGTTTCTCAAAAGACAAAAAACGCCGAGAGGAGCGAGTCTCACACGTGGAAGCCCCTCCGGTGGCTTCGGGCAGGCGGAGGGATCGCCATGGATTCTGAGTGGGGCGGCCAGGCATTTCCATGGGTCATCTTCTCCCAGTGCTCAGGGACAGGGGAGGTCGGGAACTCTTTTTTAAATATGTTGGCAGAAGGGCGCAACGCTCTAGCTCTTTAGGGCCTGTGAAAACAAAGGAAGGCGGCCGTCACTCCCTTTGCTGGCACTGGGACTAGGCATCCCGTGTGTCACGCTCCTGCTGTTCTTTCGTCTGAGCCTTTCAGTTCTGGAGCCCGGTGTTCTTTTGCTATCATTCCCCCTCCGTGCCTGGTCCCCACACAGCCAGGGGCAGATTCCCAGGCGTCTCCGACCACATAAACCTGTGAATCGAGTCTCTCGGCCCCCCAGATCGACCCTCTCCCTGTCCCCCGACTCCCCAGTCATATATTATCCCCCCCCCCCAACAGAAGTCCAAAGGTTTCCTCTGGCTATGAACTGGAATGTTCTGAAT